GGGGGGGGGGGGGGGGGGGGGGGGGGGGGGGGGGATCTCAAAAGAATTTCGGATATGGCAAAAGCATCTTTTAGGTTCAAATGAGTTTTTGTGATAAATTGTGGACATTAGTTCCTGGGACAACTTAGAATTTTATTATTTTTTATTTTATTATTTTTTTCCTTATAGATAGTAAGGCCTCAAATACAATATCTGAACCTAGATGTCTTCAGGAGAAGCTAAAGGAAGTGTGTAAACACATCCAACGACCAGCAGGTACTTCAATTGGTTGGCAGAAATGGGAAAAAAAATTTAAATGAAATGGAAGGGGGGTCAGTCTCTGCTTGATCTGCCTTCCATCAATTTTAAAAGGTTTGAGCCCAATGGAATAGGAGAATAGCTATCCACAGGTTGCATCACCGGAGAGGGAAAAACCTGGCCTCATTTAACAGCAGCAGATTTTGGAAACTGAAGAGCACACTAGAAAGTGGGTTTCCTCAATGACATCCCCTAGATTGTTCAATCCCTAAGATTGTTCACACCAATCAACTTTGGGGAAGAGATAGATTTACAGGTTAATTTATACGTAAGACTTTTGAAACGTTTCATGGGACATCATTATGAGATTTACAAAGGGGAACATTTTATTTGCAGACACGTTGTGTTGATCTTTCTAACCACTAAAGTCCTACATTGTACTCTACTCCTTCAATTAATATAATTGAGAAACAAACAAAAAACAGACGGAAAAAAAAAAGTGGAACCGTTGAACACCTCACCCCCATCCCCAAATACAAGAACAAAAATGCTAAGAAACTTAGAGCAAATACTGGCACAAGAATATGCTCAAAAGATGCAGAGTTTCAGAAAAGTAGGTTCCACACACAAGTTTATGCTAAAATACATATGCTTAAGATGTATTACCCATCTTTGCATATAATCATTCAAATTGATTTTTAGCATGCCACTATCAATCATGTAAATATAATATTGCAGCATTCACATGTCAAACATGAATGCAGGCTAGCTTCACAAAATATGGAGAAAATGAAGTCTTTCAGTTTCCATATTGCTCTACCTCTTGCCTTGACTATGCTTCGCAATTGTCCCCCAAAAATTGAACTGAGCTCTGAGGGAGCAAAATTTTGTGTTCTTGTAACAGCAGATTTATTCTTCGGGCCAACTGTCTCCCACTCATCATCCTCAGCTGTAGAAACAAGAGATGATTTTTTCCCATTCAAGTTATGTTGGCCCTCAAGCTTCAGCAATTCATCATGCATTTGATGCATGATGAAACTTAAAAATTCTTGTGCATCTTCTTGTCTGTGAAGAAATGTAAACATAGATGATGCCCATACCCCAACAAAATGAGAACTACACAAAGACAAAGCTACATAGAATAACAACTGTGTCAATTACTTCTTCCAGATACATGGATACACATATAGCTTCACCCTCTTAAATTCCATGTAAACTCAATGCAGAAACATAGACATAAAAAGGAACATTGCATGGTATAAAGGGAGCACCAACACTAACACGCCCACAAACAATTTTTCAAAAATAAAAAAATACTGATACGAAACATCCCTGCCACGCTCGTTAAAATAATTTTTTTCATTTTCAATTTTTTATACATTAAAGTGAATTTATTTTTGTTAATTCTTGTTAGTCGACAATGTAAATATATATCCCAGCGTGTCAAAAAACATCTTTAACTTTACAAAATCTAAAATAATTTGGACATGCCATCAGGCATTTCCGATATGTGTTAGTGTTGGACACCAACTGATCAGGGCAGTAAGGGTGTCGGTACATCCTAGCAGGTATTTTAAAAGGTAACTTTTTGATAAAATTAACAGCAAGTCGCAGAGAACTGTCAACAGAGTTACTCAGAAAAGCACAACAAATAAGGATCAACAGACCTTGGCCTTCCTGAAATGCTGCTGGCCACATCAGGAGTAAAGTTCTTCAGCACAAGTTCGAACATCATGGGACGGATCGAAGTGCCCATTTCAAGAACAATAGTATCATCTTTCCTGTCCATCCTGGAACCCTTAGGCACGTCAAAGTCACCAATGAACTCGGCAAATGCAGTTAATGTTGGATAGCCGACCTAAATAGAAGATCAAATGATTCTTTTAAGAGTAGGATTTCCAAAGATTAAAATGTGGACAATATATGCCATTTGCAGACTGTAATTTGGTACATTGAAAAAGGCTAAACACGTGACAAAGATCAAACCTTTGGAATATTACGATTTCTTAGTTGCTGTAGAAGTTGAACAAATGGAGAACAGGACAAAAGTGCTTGTAATGTTGCATTAAGGAAGCATAAATTTCCAGAGTTGATTAAGCCTCGAGGTAGTAAATCTCTCACACCTACAACAGGTCCATCCACCTTAAAATGGGCCTCGGATTGAGCTTCGACTGAGGAATTGTTAGCAATCCCTTTCAACTTCCAATGGGGCTCTTCATCTTTCAATATTGAACTACGGGATTTTCTTGTCCCATTCTCATTCTCAGATACACGTAATCCTGTAAAGGTGATGTCATCGATTACTACCTCATTTCCATTACAACAAGAATGAATGGATTTCCCAATAGTTCCATTTTCTTTTAGATCTTTAGATACTTTATCTTCTGCTAATTTTGTAGTCAAGCCTTCATTTCCTTTTTGGATGTCAGAGAAATTTGAACTTTCAGAGGGATGTGAACCTTCTTCAGGTCCATTTGGGAAACCAAACTGTATGTTAGATATGCCGTTAAAATTACGGAAAGTCAATTCAGGCACCAGCTTTCGGGAACTGACTTGCAGTTCTGCATTTCCCACTGGCCTTTCTGAACAGGTAGAATTCTGATTCAGCAAAGACCTAGTTTCATCTCCTGTGAATGACCCAAACAATAACACCTGCAGATGTGAAGGAAGCCGCATATTCAGCACTTCAAAATAGTGAAACATGCAGTCACTGTCATAATTTTAACTGATTCTTAAATGGACACAATTATCTTTCTTTAAAAGGAGCTTATTCTTATAGTGATAATAGAATGCAAATTGTCTCTTAGTGACGAACAATAATGCCAAAAGCTTTCAGCACTTGAAACATGAGCAATTTGTGAACGTCTCAATGTTAGTGACATCAGCACACGGGTACATTGTTAGACAATGACATAGTTTGTATCCTAAACAGAGTAACTTCATCCAACTACTAGAAACACCCTTTTCTCGTTTGCTCGTGCAAAAGGCCAACCTAACTCGAAAGTGTAATTTTTTTACCTTGAACAGTAGCACTCCAAAATATGAAAGTGTTTCCATATAACTGGGGAAAAATCACGAGTGTAGCATTTCATCTTCACCGCCGAGAGAGGGGGGGGGGGATTGAATCTTTTATCTCACATAACCAACAAACACTAGAAGCCCACACGTCAAAATTCTTATTTTTCAATTAAGCGCCATAAAAATAAGCAAATTATATAAGTCAAAACAGCTAAATCTGCATAATTTATACAACGTTTGAATAAAGATTAGCAAGAAAACCAAAAAAGCCTCTAACTTTCTTTCTCAACATACCTAGTGTAAAACAGATCACCTTATCCACTACAAAGAACTAAAAAATCATTACAAATCAAATCCACAATGGAAAATAGATGAACTCAACAAAAAAAAAATCAAAGAATTCACTAACCTGGGAGGGGTCACTCATGTTGGAAAGTAAATGCAAGAACTTCTCAAACTTGGGATAAAAATCTTTAGGGTAAAAAATAAAGAAGAAAGTGTATAAGAAAAATTAAGGATTGATGAGGAAACTTAATCGAAAAGTTTCCAGAGAAAACAGAGAGTATTGAAGAAGACATGTGAGTGAAACAAAGCATTTAACAAAAGATTGGCCCTCCTCAGATAGAAGAATCGACCAATTATACTATGCCGATGGTATTCTAAATAGATTGGGATTCGTCCCCCCCCCCGCGGGGGGGGGGGGGGGGGGGGATTGAATCTTTTATCTCACATAACCAACAAACACTAGAAGCCCACACGTCAAAATTCTTATTTTTCAATTAAGCGCCATAAAAATAAGCAAATTATATAAGTCAAAACAGCTAAATCTGCATAATTTATACAACGTTTGAATAAAGATTAGCAAGAAAACCAAAAAAGCCTCTAACTTTCTTTCTCAACATACCTAGTGTAAAACAGATCACCTTATCCACTACAAAGAACTAAAAAATCATTACAAATCAAATCCACAATGGAAAATAGATGAACTCAACAAAAAAAAAATCAAAGAATTCACTAACCTGGGAGGGGTCACTCATGTTGGAAAGTAAATGCAAGAACTTCTCAAACTTGGGATAAAAATCTTTAGGGTAAAAAATAAAGAAGAAAGTGTATAAGAAAAATTAAGGATTGATGAGGAAACTTAATCGAAAAGTTTCCAGAGAAAACAGAGAGTATTGAAGAAGACATGTGAGTGAAACAAAGCATTTAACAAAAGATTGGCCCTCCTCAGATAGAAGAATCGACCAATTATACTATGCCGATGGTATTCTAAATAGATTGGGATTCGAATTTTCTACCTCTCCCCCCTGGATTTGAGGTTTTAGGTTTAGCCGTTTAGGTTCTGGTTTAGGTTATTCAAACAACAGAGGTGATAGTTATATGATTATATCCGTTTGGTTATAATTTTGGGAACAATGTCCATTCGACCGTGTGATTGAAAATGAAGATAATATTTTTTATTTATATATAATATTATTTTATTAAAAATGTGTAATTAAAAAAAAAGAAGAGAAAAATATGTTATAAATTTAGTTGGTCCTATTAATTTCAATTTTATTACATTTTATTTTTCTCTCCTCTATTTTTAACCATACAAGTTTTAATAAAATAATATTATATGTAAATCGAAAATTTTTCCTTCTTTTTTCAACCACTAATTTTCCAAAAAAATATTATTTCACTCATTTTTATTTCCTCAAAATTGGGGCCTAATGGAACTCAAATAGGAGAAAATCATTGATGGGACAATCGCAACATCTACGTAGTGAACTATGATGGCCTACCTGATAAGTGGGAGCTCCGTATTGGGTGATCGCACCACGTAGGATGGTGCAATTGCCCACACCAAAAAATTTCTCAATCTTATAAATTTATTTTAGAGACTTCAATAAAAACATGTAAAAATGAAGTGTTAAAAGAAAGTAGACGTATTTCATTGAGAACTAAATACTTAGGGCTTGTTTGAGCCACATTATTTTAAAAAAAAAATACATTTTTCAATAATAATTTGATATCATTTCAACCACACATTTTTCAATAAATTATTATTAAACACAAATCTAAAATTTTTCTTATTTTTTAATCACTTCTCATTAATTTAACATGAATAATACTTTTTCCCTAGAATGTAGCTCAAACATGGGCTTATATTTATAAGCAAGAATTAAGGCTACAACGGATACAGTAGTCATAATAATTAGGATTGTAGGAGAATAATGATCATTAATTAATAAATATATAATTTACAATACTCCACCTTGAGTGACACATAACAAAATAAATGTCTCATTAAAACCTTGTTAATAAAATTAAATGAACAAAACTTAATTTAAGGAAAAAGAGTACAACCGTTGTCTTGATTTCAATAAATGAAAATTCTGGTATCGAATTATTTATATCTTGTACGTCAATATCTTCAATATTTTAATTCTAGTTAAGCATATTTTTTGTTGTCTAGTTATAGCCTTCAAATAATATCGTATTTGTAGATGATATTCATCAATCTTTGTTTATCTTTAGCATGATAATCTGCTAAAAAATATATTGTGTTTTTGCTCTCTTGAAGAATCGTACACTATCTATAATAAATAAAAATATTATTTTGACGGTAAATATCTTATTGGTTAAAAACATTCATTACACTAGGATTATGACCCACGAAAACCTGATTAGAAAAAAATCATGCGGAAAAAAAAATAATGAAGAAAAAAGAGTAAATTATTTCTTTGAAAATGTTACAAAAAATGTCCAATAAAAACCTTGTAGGGAAAATTCAATAGAACAAAATCACGGTCAAGAAAAAAAAAGCACAATACATACGTACTCTCCTCATAATAATATCAGTGAATTATATTAAGAGTAGTGCATTACATGCTGTAATTTCATTTTTCTCATTTACTTTTAGTATAAGTATAAACCTATATAGTTTCATACTGCAGGTCCGGAAACTTCAAGTCTCTTTAGTAAATTCAATTTTATTAAGATTACGTCCTTTTATTTGGCCAATATTTCTTCGATTGATATACTTCAATAAATTTATTACGATATCGTCACTATTGATAATATGAAGCGATACATTATGTGCAAAAATATTGTCAACAACTTTTTATTTTCAATTATATTTCGTTCTCATAATAACATAACTATTGAAATATCACAATTTTTAACATTTCAGGTACCTGATCTTCTTCTTAAGTTCTACATTTTGTTATATTGATATACTCTCCCAGTTGGCCCTCATTAATTTCCATTTCATTTTTCTCTTTCTTATTTTCAACCACACAATCTTTCATAAAATACTATTATACGTAAATCGAAAACTTTTCATTCTTTTTCAACCTCTCATTTTAAAAAAACATTATTCCACCAATTTTCATTTCCACAAAATGGGGGCCAAACGGGGACATGTCTTGTTAATAGAATCATCTTTGCTAATTGCTCCATTTTCATTTTACTTTTAAGATTTTTGTATTAGAATCAAATGTCGTCATAGTTCAGACGTGCCATAGATTATCAAATATGATATTAACTAATTGTCCTCTCCGAACGTCAATTTGAGGTGGAGCATTTAAAAATGATGTGTGAAATATTGTTGATATATTTGATCAGTAAATACATCTGAATAAATTATTTTTCGAACTTATGATTCGAATTGTTCTTTATGAGGAGAGTAGTAATATAATTATGCATTTGTACATTATTTTAATTTCTTAATTCCTCATTTTAATATTGAGAGAACTATTAAATTAAATTGACAATCAGCAAATTACGTTATAAGATATTATTCGTTAGAACTTACAGGGGTTCAAACTACGCATTTATTCTCAATATTCTTTACTTTTCATCTCAATGTATTGTAATGGATCAATTTTACATATACTGCACTCTCAAAATAATTAGATAAAAAATTAAGTTTTGACCATAAGTCAATTAAAACATGGGGAATTATGATGTTGACATGATACATAATAACATTTCCTAAAACAGAAATAGAAATACGTTGTTCTCAATAGTAATGATTAAGAAATTAATTGGAAGCACTTAAAAAACAATAGTATTAAATCATTTATTACAATCCCAACTAGCATTTATTCAAATGTTGAATTTAGGTTCACTAGCATTAACAAGACATATCGTCTTGGTTGTATAATAAAAAAATTATGCTCATAATTTAAAATTTAAGCAGTAATTTGCAAATTTCAGATTGTAAACACCATTTAATCATCTGGTAGATGTAATATATATATTAGATACAAATAATATCTATAGATGATCACCATGGAAGGTGACGGGACCCATTTATCACCCTAATTAAATTATAGAAATATACAAAATTAAGTCTATATTTTAGCTAGTAATAGTCAATGATCGATTTCAATAAAGAGAACAAACATCATGTATGAATTTATTAGATTAAAAAGTCTTCTAATTCTTCATTGAATATCCATTTGAATTTTCAATTGTGCATAATTACTAATTCAATAATGGTCTAATTGGTTATGCTAAATAATGAATCATTTTCTTTTGAAATATTAAAATCATGATGCCATGTTTCACCAAAGCATCGACATGGAATTCATCTAGAATATGATATGCACAGATATTGTACATTTTCAAAAGTAATAATATAATATTATTTTTAAATATTATTATGTATGAATTTCTACTTTTTCAAGAGCAACAAAACAATACCAATATTATATTCATTTTCAAGACAACAATATCTTCTAGAATATTGATTTAGATGGTTTCTTTTCAAGAATAACAATAAATTCTTCTGGAATATAGTACTTGAATATTGAATGACAAAATTTACATTCAAGTAAATATTTATCTATCATTTATTAAATAGTCAAATCAATACAATCGATCGAATAACTATACATCTTTGTTATGCAAATTAATGTTAAAGAGTTTTCTTTGAGCAGGAAAGAAGACTTTCTTTATAAATTCAATTAGCTACAACTTCTTGTCTTTTTTTAATGAAGAAAACACAAATCTCTATCCCAACTGGCTTAAGATTTTTAAGTAGGAAGAGAAATAAATTTTGCTAACTCAATTAATTAAAATTTCGTGCTTCTTGACGTCAAAAGCTGATCATTCTTAGCCAACTTAGTTGATAATTTGTAAAAAGGTATATTGCCAGAATAATAAAAGAAATGAGTCTCCATATTTATTGAGTAGTATTTAAATGGGTAAGAGAGTACATTGAATTTGGGTCCATCGGGGGACCATTGCGTTCTTTTCCATAGGCTTAAAATGAGAAAGTTGGCACCCACCATCAAATAATCTATAGTGCTGATCTTAATATGTGTGCCATCGACTTGGATCTGATTAGTATTTGAGGTCGACTTCTGCAGGTATGATGATACAAGAGTGGTAGGTCATCATTGCAAACCTTCAATCGGTCAAAATCTTGGTGCCATCATAATAATTGCCACTTGTCATCGCAATGGTGGTCCTCAGAAAGGTAATGATGTCAGCCATGAGGTGAGCGGGATCAGATGGCAATGATGATGTTTCTAAGATGATGGTGGTGCATTCTGACCTCAAACCTTTTAATCGAGCTAACCTGGAGAATCTGTAATTAATCTCTTATGAGGTGCTACAGATACCTAGTTGGTAATTAACATAATCCAAATTTTATCTTAGTAATTTTGGTGGCCAACAAATATCTTCTAAGGTTCGTATAGGCAATGCTTCTGCGTCCACTGAATTTTTTGCAAATGGCTATGCGCTCGCATAGCACTTATAACTATATGATCGCATAGTTATCGTATTTGGCTCCCCCGTCCATGGCTTGAATCAAGTTGAACCATTTTGCATCTTCTTCTGAGCCCCACTTGAAACTTGTTTCTTTGCTAGCCAAGATTGACGTTTCATCCATTGCAGCTTCTTTCACCCTCTTTTCTCACGATCGAGTCATCAACCCTTTTTAGACAATCAACAGATCCTTACGCGGACTTGCCTTCGTTGCGTTCGTTCCATGGATCACATCAATAAACAAGACTTCAACTTTAGCACATAGCTTATTCATAATTCACAATCGACTCATGTCTCCAAATATATACATCATTGCCAACAATGCTATCCAATACATATAAGCATACGATTTTTTTATTGCACACAAATCACTCAAAATAATAATAAAAATTAAGGCAATTAGACAGTTGGAAATTAGACAATTTATATTTCACCCCTCCAAACTTAAATTAAACATTGTCCCCAATGTGAAATTAAAGAAAATGAGGAGTTCTCTGAATTATCTACATTACCTATGACATTCTAATGCTTATGATACTGAATTCAATGGATGCTATTTCTATCATTCCCACATATTTGAGATTTCCTACATAAAAAAAAATACTCATTGATAAACTAAAAAATTTAAAATCTAAAGTAAGAGA